GGCTCTAGGAGGCTCTAGAGGCTCTGCTCTAAACAGAGACACGGGCCTGATGGGGAGGGCTGGCATTGGCCTTGTGCTGCCCAGCTATCCTCTGCTATCATGAGATGAGTTTCTCTGACCCTCCAGATGGTGGGGCAAGGCATGCCTACCCTTGTGTAGGACGTAGTGATGTTAGGCTGGAGATGGGGGCCAGCGGGGGCGGGGTGGTGGTGGTAGTGTTAGCAGTGCTGGGCATTCGGTTCCTACCCAGCTTCATGTCACTTAAGTCACAAGAACTCATGTGGTTTCCAGCCTGTGGGAGAAGCAGCCACATTTCCTGGTACTGGGATGACCTAAGAATCACAGCCCCCCGTGCCAGCCCAGATGGGCCAAGCCAAAGGCTCTATGTTAGGAAAGAGGCTTCCAGCCCAGCACCACATCGGTTCCTATGGACTAAGCTACCTGGAGGAATGAGTTCCCTCGTTTCTCTAGGTCTTTAGGTCTGAGAAGCCAATAAGCTCACATTCTATCACTCAGTGATCCGTAAATGAGATCCTCAGATTTGGGTCTTGAGGGGCACCCCAAGCGAGGTCTGGGGGACTGCTTTAGCAGAAGCCAGCTGATTTCCAGCTCCCTGCTCCCTCTGCCCCCCTCCCCCGAGATTTCCGGGGAAGCTGTTCCCACTCCCATCTGGCCTGTGCCCTGGGTTGTCCATGGCATAGCTCATGGGCCTCCCGTGGGCAGGGAGGGCAGCTTTTCTCTCCCAAGCAGCGGTGGGGTCTGGGGGGTGCTGTAGGAAGCTGATTTGGGATGAAAGCATTCACTGTACGAGGGAGCCTAGTGTTAGAACTGAGGGTTGGCTTTGGCTTTTCAATAATACGATGAACAACAAGTGCGCAAAGCATTTCTTGAAGGCCAGTGTGCCAATCACTGCTCTGAGCCCACTCTGCATATTTGAGCCCAGTTAATTATCGCCACACTCCATGAGGGTCAGTGTTGCTATTCCTCCTGTTTGCAAATAAGGAAACCAAGGTATGGAGAAGTTAAGCAAGTGCCCTAAGGTCACCCAGTGAATGAGTAGGATAGCGCTGAGCAACTTGGCACCCACCCCCTTGTTCTTAATCTCTTTGCAACAGTGCCAGGTGGTTGTCAAAGCCATCTCTGTGGGAATGAAAGGGAGGAGAGACCTAGGCAAAGGAGTGTGGGTGGGAAGTGAACGCATGCAGATATTTAGGTTTCTCCTGGGCTTAGCTGCAGAAAAACCCTGTAACCAAACTTAAGCATGATAGGGTGCCCCACACCTTCATGAGGATCGTTAGGAAGGGCCTGGAGAGGCTAAAATAGGTCAAGTCCAAAGGAATTTTTCAGAACTGTTAACAAAGAATGGAAGCTACCGAATGACAAGAGTCAGCTCAGTAGAATAATGAACTTTCTCAAATCACTATCCAAAGATGGATTGGGCTGTACTGGGAGATTGTTTGGAGAGGGAGAGGGGGAGAGGAAGGGAAGGGAGAAGGATAATTAAAGTCCTGGACCAAGTAGTATGAACGCACTCAAACTGAAAAACCAAATTTACTGCCATCAAGTTGATGCTGACTCAAAGTGACCCTGTAGGACAGGGTAGAACGGCCCCTGTGAGTTTGCATGACTGTAACACTCCACAGGAGTAGAGAACCCCATCTGTCTCCAAAGGAGTGCCTAATGGTTTCAAACTCCTCTCCTTGAGGTTGGTAACCCATTAATGGTTACCCATTGGGCCTCTAACTGCAAGTCAGCACGTAGAAATCACCAACCAGCTCTGAGGGAGAAAGACAACGCAGGGGCAGTTCTACTCCATCCTATAGTCTTGCTATGGCAGTGCATAGGAATCTGGTAGTGGGAGGAAATGTGCCAGGCATCAGAGAGCCAAACATAAAGTTGACAGGACTGCAGGTTTAGTAAAGCAGTATTTTATACAAATGAGCACCAAGACCAATGAAGCCAAATTCACTTCCTTTACTTAAATGAGCCATTGAGTGTTTAGTTGTCAGAACACACAGGGGCATCCTAGATCATGTGAAAGGGCTTTGGGGTGAAATCTAGTTTGAAGCCAGGATCTGCTATTTACTTTAGTGCGTGACCTTGGGGCAAGGAATGGAACCTCTTTGTACGTTGGTGTCCTCATCTACAAAATGGTGATATGGCCCCGTAACTTTCAAGGGGGTCACGAGAGTCAAGATCAGCACAACACTGGAGCAGAGTAAGTGCTTAACAAGTTCGAAGCATGAACGCAATTACAAGAATATCTTGGGAATGGCCATGGCAAGTAAGTGCCACTGGAGAGCACGTTTGTGCTGACGAATCTCATCCAGGCACGTCTGTTTAGTGAATGTATGGAAAGTTATGGAACACCGTTTTGCTCCTTTATCTGCGATATGGGTTTATTTGAGGGCATTTTTGTCTGATTCGGTCAGAAGCCACACTGATGAACATCTTTCAGTCAGCAATAACCTTTCAAGGTTATTTCCCCTACAGACATGAGGAGACAAGTAGAAAGAATCTTTGCAGTCAGACAGGCCTGTCTTCAAATTCTGGGTGTGTAAACCATCTGTCATGTGTCCATGGCCTCCCTTATCCTCTGAGTCTCAGTTCTCTCAGACTTAGGCTGGAGATGGTAGAAATCAGCACTGACGAGATCAAAGGGCCCAGCAGAGTGCCTGGTACAATCAGGCTGCTCAATAATACATTGCCAAATCAACACAGATGTCAAATCAAAGTAACACATCATGGCTTACACCCTTGGCCTTCTAAGGGTACACAGGTGTCTTTTGTCTGAAGCAAACTCGGAATTACAGAATTTCACACTTGCTGAACTTACAGAGCAGGGTGCCAGTTCATCTCATAGCTCCTGATGCAGGCTCAGATCAGAGGCAATGGAAGAGTGAATTCCCACACCTTAGTGAGGGCCTATGGCTACCACACAGCACAGATGAGTGGAACTTTGAGTGACACTGCCACCTGTGGTAAAGAGGGGTCCTGCAGCCCAGCTCTATTAGCTATGTGAAACATTCACAGAAAAGACGGAAGGGATTTTCCAAGAGTTGTTTTGTGTCAAATTATATAATTTCAGGAAATAGGAAGATTTCAAGTGGTACCAATAGAGAATTCACAGATATGGGGGAATGAGAAAGGGCGCAAAGGACCCCAGGTACAAAGGATATGAGCATGTGATGAAGGAGTGGTTCTAAAACTATTGTCAGTATTTCCATTAACCAAGTTTCCAAGCTAGATCTTTTTGAAGAATCACGTCTTTCTTTGCTGAAATTGTATCTTTGATTTCAGAATCAAGGCCATTGGGAAAGCAGGATTACCTCATAGCTAACTTCCCGAGTGTATCTATTCCAGTGATGTAAGGGACAACTTGGCAAAGAAACTCAATGAACATGTACCTTTGTAAGGTGACCAATCACAGCTTTCAGAAGGGAAATCTTCCCATTCATCTGGCTGTGGTTTTGCAAATGGGGCTTGAGCAGATTGTGGCTTTAAGAGCTCATCAGGTTTCTTTTCTAATGGTGAGAAGGAAAATAAGGCCAAACTTACCTCTGTCATGCGGGGCTTGCAGGAGCTGGATGGCACAAGCCTTCCTGTCTCAGGATGCGGAGCTGTGGCCATGGTGTATGTCTCTTTGCTCACCTTCTGCTTAGACCTCAGGAGGGACAAAGCAGCTTTAGTGGAAACCCCTGGAAGGTTGGGGTTGTACAAACTTATGCACCAACCAGCGTAAACAGAGGACCTCCTATCTGCATGCTGGATGTGATTTGGCTTAATGTAGTTTAAATAGCACCAACTGACATTAGTGGTCGTGTGGAGGCTGGGGAACTGCAGTACCTTCTTTGAGTCCATACCTTCTTGTGACTTGGCTGGTCTGGGGGATGTTTCTGAAAGAGGCAGCGAGCTGGGAGGCATCTGTGGAGGGAGGTCGGGTTGTTCCTTGGAATCTTCCTTCTTTACACTCAGTGTGGGCAATGCCCTGCGGTGAGGTTTGCTAGGTGACTGGCTATATTCCTTCATGACTTCTGAGCCTGGAGCGGTCTCATGGGGTAATGCAGGGTGAGCAAGAGGAGGAATTTCCTTTGGCTCCAATGGATCTGAGGATACACTGGACTGTGTTTCCAGCTCCCTCTGGCCCTGGCCCTGGCTGCCCGGGTGAGATTTCTCTGGCCTTTTCCCATCCTCAGTGCTGGTAAGCACGACATTGCATGGCTTTACCAGCTCGAGTTTTTCATCTCCCTTGGAAGCTTCCTCTTCCTTCACCCTCTTTTGCTGCTGGGTTTCCATGGTGAGTTCAAGGCTGCCAGCTGGCGAGAGGACACGTTTGCTCCCTCCTGCTGTCGATGAACTTCCCTCCAGGCTCAGGACACTCTCTGATGACAGGGAAGTGCTTTTTCTTTCTGGCAGTGTCACAGGCACTCTCAGGTAGGGAGTCGGAAAACCTCTGCTTTGTTCTTCACTTACTCCAGCCAATCGGGGACCAACCTCATAAGCCTCTGTCCCACACACGGTTATCCCTTTGGATGGGGGCTCCTCAAATTTGGGGAGAGCCACGGTTGCTGAGCTGCCTTGGGACTGGGTGACCAGGATCTGGGAGAGGGTAGTGTACATCGCGCTCCCATAGGCCGGCATGTTGGTCTGAATGCGGACGGGCACAACCAGCGACACCATGGTGTCTGGGTAGGTGGGTGGGGCCAGCGGAGGTGCCGATGTGGGTGTGGAAGAGCTGGGCGGGAGAGGCACGGGGGGCAGTTGGACATCTCTGCTGTACTCTGTGGTTGGAGAGAGGCCGGCCGTTCCTGATACCAGAGGGGCCAGGCTAGTCTTGAGCTGGGGCAGGTGGCTTTCCACATCACCCGGGAGCTGAAGTGAAAACTGGGATTGCAGGGGCAGGAAAAACCCCGAGGAGAGGGCTGAGGAGGCCGGGTATGGCATGGGGAGATAGGCAGGGGGCTGCCGAAAGGGGATTGTGGTGGGGTGAGGCATGAGCTGGGGGAGGTGGAGTTGGCCTGGGTGCAGAACGGTAGGCTGGAGAGGAAGAGGTGAGGGCTGAAATAAGGAGGGAGGAAGTGGGGGCATTGAGTATGGCGACGACAGGAGACTGGACATGGCCTGGGTGGAGAAGAATTCTGAAGACTGGCCTGGCTCATGCTGCAAAAGGTGCTGAAAGGAGAAGAGGGAGACGGGAGGGGGCAGGTAGGGTTTCTCCTGCAGGGGCAGCGGGGCTATGGGTTGGGGGAACACCTGCAGTGCTTCTGTGTAGGGGGGAGTGGACCCTAGAGGAGGTCTGTCTGCCACCTGGCTCTTGTCTGCTGGGTGCTCGCTGTGTGAGGGGGTTGCCATGGAGATCTGGGGCAATAAGCTTTTGGCCGATGATTTACTACTGCACAAGGGCTGTGGGGCCTCACTCTCCTGTCTTCCTTTGGGGACGGGCTCCAGCTCTGCTTCTGGAGGCCTGCTCAGAGATGCTTGTCTCACCAGGAAGCATTTTCTTCTTTCTGGCGGGGCTGCCTGAGCCGGTGGAGCCACTGGGGCTGGTGTGGAAGGGCCTGCCAAGGACAAGCTGCCGTAGTCAAATGATTTGCTGCGGGTCTCAGTCATCTGGCTGGGGTGGGGCACGTTGGGGCTCTGCTCAGAGGCTGATCTGCGCATCTCTCGGGAGTGCGGGTGGTGGCTGGGGACGGTCAGCATGTGAGTGCCCAGGAGCTTGGAGCGTGGGTCTGCCAAGGGCCCCGGGGCCTCTGATTTGCCATGATCTTCCCTCTCAAATGAGGCTGAGTGGCTGGACCCGCTCAGCGAGATACTGCTTTCCTGGCTTGGGCTGCGAGTCAGGGACATGGAAGACTCAAAGCTGGACTCCCCAGACGACTGGGCCATCTCCGCCAGCCGCAGTCTCTTCTTCTTGGGGGGCAGCTTCTCGGCTGGCAGCTGGGCAAGTGTCTGGCTGCGCTGGGGCCACTGGAACTCCTCTGTCTTCTCGGGCTCCTTAGCAGGTGGCTCCGGTTCCGCTTCGGGCCGATCGGGCTCCTCGGTCACCAGGATCTCCGGAACCTGAATGTTGGGCTGGCGGACAAGCCGGGGCTGCAGGGAGTGAGCCGGCCGGCCATGCGGGGCAGCTGGGGGCGATGTGAATGGGACCAGGGTCTTGTCTTCCCCTTCCAGGCCGCTGGACTGCTCGAGAGAGTCAGACTTCTCGAAGGAGCTGGTGTGCTGGATGACAGAAATCTCTTTGGACGTGGTTCTCCTCTCCGTCCCGGATTCTGAACTGGAGCCTGGCTTGGGCGTCCTCGGCTGGAAGCCCGTGGGTCCCTCTAAGGAGGGCACTGATTTACTCGGCTCTGCTGGTGACTTGGTGGGCTCCGCGGGGAGAAGGCTCCGGGCTGGCTCTGCCGGCCCGGCACTGCCGAACTGCCCTTTCTCGGTCTCAAGGGCAGGCGGCTCTTCCTCGTCCCCCAGGCTTTTCTCCTTCCGCCGCTTCCTCAGGGGAGTCAGCTCCAAAGTGGTCCCGAGCTTGTAGTGCAGCATCTGGGACCAGGGCTCCTGCTCGGCGGGACTCTTCTCGGCGTCTGGGGCCGTGTGGGCACCTGCAGAGACGGGCTTGGTCACCTGAAGCTCCGAGCAATAGTACTTCTTATGGGCTTCGTAATTGTCCCTCTTCTTGTACCGAGCACCACAGATGTTACATTCATAGATCACCCCTTTCGTTTTTAATCCCTTCTTGGTCTTTTTGGCGAGCTCGCTCTCCTGGGGTTCCGGTTCGTCGGTGGGTTGGGAGGTGGTGTCTTTCCTGCTCGGTCCAGCCTCCTCCGAGCTGTACTCGCCCCCCAAGGGGAGCTCGATGGCCGGTTGGCGCCTCAGCATCCGCGGGTGGGAGGAGGTCAACAGGTGACTGCGGCTCAGGGCGTCGGGGTCGGTGATGTGGTCATCGAAGGAGTAGCTCCCTCGGAAGGTAGGGTGTGGGGTGCGGAGGGTGCAGGCAGCCGAAGGCATTGAGTGGCTTCTCAGGAGAGGCACAGGGGGGGTGGGGGTGGGGGGGTGCTGGAGGCTCAGCATCGACGCTTCCGGCTTCAGTTTCTCGCTGTGCGCTGCCGACGGGGGTTCTCGGTAGAGACTGGCCTTGGGGGACTCCATGCTGCTGCGCCGCGACAGCGAGCTCCTCCGGGGCTTCACGCTGTCGATCTCGCTGGTGTCCACCACGGCCTCATTGATGGTGATGAGCTTGGTGATGTGCTCGATCACCTGCGTCCGGGGCACAGACATAGGCACCAGGCTGGGCTTGTCTTCGGTGGACAGGGGCAGGAGGGGCTGGGTGGCGCTGGCCGTCAGCATGGTGGTCCTCTGCCCCATGCGCCCGCATTTGCCGAAGATGATCTCAGCGTAGGACTTGGCGTTGGTGTTGGGAGGGCTGACCTGCTGCTCGGCGCTCTCTGAGCGGGAAAAATAGCCCGACTCGGTGCTCCCTTTGCTGCCGGGGCTCAGAAAGGCCTGCTCGTCAATCACCTTCTTCCTCTCGCTCAGGCGCAGGGCCAGCTTCTGCTTGATGGTGTGGGTGTCCTCGGGCTTCTGGCTCACGGGGTGCTCGGACGAGGGTTCTGCAAAGGGTGTGGGGTCCTCGAGAGACTGGGAGGTGCCGGACTTGGACAGGAAGCAGTGTTCATGGCTGGAGCTGTACCCCCCGCTGGAAAGGAGGGGGTGCTTGGGCCTGGGGGAGGCCTCCGGGGGGTGGCTGGAGGGTGGCCCGGTCTCCTCCTCGGAATCTGTGCTTTCTCCCTCGGTGGGCTCCTCAAACTCTTCACCGGGGACCCTCTCCAACTCCAGGCCCGGCGGGTACACCTCGCTGCCCATCCCCGAGGCCAGGCCGGCTTTGATGCGGTGGGCGTGGGACTTCCTGTGCTTGTAGAGGTTGCTCTTGGTCTTGAAGGAGAAGCCACAGGGCCCGCAGGGGTAGGGCCTCTCCCCCGTGTGTGAGCGGATGTGCTTCTGGAGCACGCTGGGCTTGGCGCACGGCCGATTGCAGTACTGGCAGATGTACTTGCCCGGCTTCTGGGGCTTCTTCTCCTTCTTGTGCGCCTCTTCTGTGGGCTTTAGGGAGACCTGGGAGGGGCGGGGCACAAAGACCTTGGGGATGGCAGGCAGGTCCTCCGGTGGGATGATGGAAGCATGGGAAGGGAGGAGCTGGCTCGGTGGGTGGATCCCAGGGGCCACAAAGGAGCCCGAGGGCCCCGGTCTCATAGGGTCCACCAGCTGCCATGTGGAGCCCTCCAGGAGATGCTCAGGCTTGCCGGGCGACATGAATGCTGGTGTCAGAGGGTGTGGTGGAAGCTGCGAGATGTGGACGGAGGCTTCGAGGGAGGTTCTCTTGGGGGGTTTCTGCTGCTGGCTTGGTTTCTCCTGAGAGCCTTCCCTAAGAACTGCTGAGGAGCCTGGGAAGGGCTGCGGGGCTAGGAGCTCTTGGAGGGGGCTTTCCTGGGTGGCCCCGGGGGCACCGCCTGGGTACAGGGTGCCGGAGGGAACACAGGTCTGGGTGGCCTCTCCTTTGGTTAGCCGCTTCCGGGGACTTCCCTCCGCTTTCTTGGTGCCCTTGACGGCGCTTTGTTCAGGATCCATGACCTCCTTGGAGACTGGAGATGCTATTCCGGGAGGGCTGGGGTGGGCTGCATTTATGGGGAAGCCAAGTGATCCAAGGAGGCGCTTGGCTTTGGCCACATTGGTCAAGCGCTGCAGAAACCAGACCAAAGACAGCTTCGGGAGGGTGCTTTTTTGTTTTGTTTAGTTTTTTTGCAAGTGTCACTGGCGGTGAGTGGACTCAGAGCAGAGCATCAGGGCCGGGGACATTCCGATCGTGCATCATGACGCTCTACTTCGCAGACAGAAAATGCACCAGCAGTTCCTGCCTGAGTGTCTGTCTGGGAAATGTCACGGAGGATGTCAATATTGCCATTGTATTACTTCAGTGGGCAGTGGCAGGTGTCCCCCTGGAAGTCCCCTGTGTGCTATGTGGACTATGGAAGGTCAGAGACGTCTGTGTCCATGGCCCAGTCATGTCTGGTCCTGGCCTAAAAGAAGCCACTCTGGATGCCGAGGGTGGCCTCGTTCTGGTGTCTTCTCCTGTCTCTCCCCGAGCTGGAGGTCAATGGCCGTCGAGGAGAAATGAAGCTCTTCTGCAGGGACCGGGGCCAAGCACACACAGAGACACACACAAGAGAGAAGAGAGTTACTACGACTTGTCCACCAGGCACGCAGAGCTGACTCAGCAGTCACTCTGGCTGACATTCCTAACAGTTTAACCAGGGAAGCTCAACCAGAAATCCAAACTCCCAGGCTTCCTGTACCCAAGAACCCACACTCTCTATTCGTCTGTTTTCCTGTGGGGCTGGAGTGGCTGGACACCTGTTGTGGCTCTGAGGCCCATGGCTGTGTGAGGTGCTGGGAGCAGAAGACAGGGCAGGGTTCTGTGAAGTGAAGGACAGTTAAGAGACAAGAGGTCCCAATGCCATTCTCTGCCCCGGGGTGGACTCGTGTGCCCAAGTTCAAGTCCTGGGGTAGCACAAATGGCTAAAGTACTTAGCTGGGAACCAAGCTGCTAACCAAAAAAGAGTGAAGTGCCCCCCAGGGGCACCTTGGAAGAAAGACCTGTTGATTTATTTTTGAAAAATCAGTTACTCAAACCACCAAAGCCCCCTGTGCTGCCCTGTTCTAGTACTGCACACACGGGGTCACCATGAGTGGGCATGAACCAGGTAGCAACTGGTAGTACCTCTGTCACCACTTAGTCTCTAACTGGGCCACATCAATTCCTGCCTCAGTGCACCTCAGGGTCACCAGGGGTCCAATGAGCTCATGGATGTAGATGCTGCTGCTCCAACACCGCTGGTGGTGGGGGTGGTGCTGGTGGGTTAGTTGGCTCCGGGGTTAGTATTAGTCTCTATCGCACCCTGACTTTGAAAGGGCCCTTGAGGGGCTCCATCACTCATCGTCTTTTCTCCTGGCTAATCCTGAGGCTATGCTTCAGGGTAAAGTTGAAAGCACACCGCTCCCACGGCCCCTGGAAACTCAGCCTAACACAGCCGTGGCCGCCTGATTGGTCATGCAATTGTCGGTGGACCGTGGTCTGGCAGGGGCCTCCCGATTGGCTGCCTTTCCAGGAGGTCAGTGCCTCAGGGATGCCCTGGACGGCACTGGAAAGTGGGAGCCTTCCCAAGCTGAATGGAACACTAGTTCTGAATGGAACCTGCTCCCATGAGGCTCCTCCCAGGCACAGCTGGAGGCTGGTCTGCTTACGCTGATCCTTTCCACTCAGGAGCACTGGCCGTTTTAAAGCTGAAAATCACTGCGGGCTCTGTCTCATTCAAGCCCTGTACTTTCCGACTGAGGAGACAGAGGACCACGGAAGGAAGGTGGCCTATGAAAGGGCCTATGGTTCCTAAGAGGCAGCGCTGGTTCCTGAACCCAGGCTTTCTGTGACCAGCCATCCCCTCAGCTGTCCATCCCTTGGGTGAGGGCCTGGTTGAGTGACCTGCGTCCTTGTGAACTCCTTTCTTTCCTCCAAGTGCAGCCGGACCTGCTTCTCTGACACCAGCCGCCCTTCATGCCCCCGCCTTGATCTCCACCAGGCATGTGCTGACACAGACTTGAAGAGCTCACACTTTGCCCTTCAATAGGGGAGCTCAGAACACGGACGCATCTGTGAGACTCCAGTAAGTCTCTAACACGGCAGATGCTGTAACCTGCCACGAACTAAAAACGACGCCCTTTCCTTTCCTCCTTGTGCATGTTTCTTTCCTAGCTTGGTTCCACTGGGGATTGAAGGTAGCTTCCCACAAAATCATACTAATAAAGTAATGATAAATAAATATAAGAAAACTACCATGCAGCATAGCAAGTCAAAAACACAGGAAGCTATAAATATGGCAAGAAGTCAAGATCAGAGGGAAGACTAACCATAACAAAGACAATGCCTGTATACTCCACACCAGGACTTGCAATGCTTCTATAACTCAGCTATGTGTTCAGATAGCTTTCTGGGAACCAAGGAGAGATGGGAGATAGGCTCCATTACAGAGCCCTTGAAGTAGAAAGAAAGAAACATCTCTTCTTGTGGATATGTTCCCTGTAGGAAGCAAAGGGTGGCTCACAAACACCTTTCTCGCGTGGTACTTCAGAGCGGGGCAGTGAGTGGTGCAGGGGATCACATGTGTCTTCACTGACACCCCTCCAGCAAATGCAGTGATGGATGATGGTCAATGGGAAGCCAAGGAAATAAAACCACAATACAACTCAATACTGGCTACGCTTTGAGAAGTTACATGTCTACTCCGGAGAGAGTGATTAAGGAAGGTTCTTAGGCAGAAAGGTCGTCCTTCCAGATAGGGCTGAGGGATGGGAGGAGAGTAGGGGAGGAGATAGAACACATCACAGCACAACAGGGTGGCTGTAGTAGATATCATTCAAGCTAGAATACACATTTCAACATAATTATGGGGAAACAACAGAAATAAACCAGGGTGGTCTCAGGTCAACTGGGACATTGATTGCCCCTTATAATCAGCATTTCTATTGAAAGATTCTATGGGCAAAATATTGAATGATGAAGGACGCATCAAAGACGATGGGATGAACACACAGAATGACTGTACCCAAAAGAACCAGCCAGCATTACGCTATTTCAGGAGGTAGCGTATCAGCAAGAACCAATGGGGCTGATGGAAGAGTCCGAGTGGCACTGAAAGCACTAACCAAAAACAAGCTTCCAGAAATTGATGGAATACCAATGGAAACATGTCAACGACTGATGAAGCACTGGAAGCACTCCTTCATCTAAGCCAGTTAAATTGGAAGACAATTACTTGGCCAACTGGCTGGAAGAGATCCATATTTGTACCCACCCCAAAGAAAGGTGACCCAACAGAATGCTCCAATTATAGAACAATTATCTTTGACATCACATGGAAGTGGAATTGTGCTGAAGATCATCCAATAATAGTTGCAGCAGCACATTGACAGGTAGCTGCCAGAGGTTCAGGCCGGATTCAGAAGAGGACCTAGAACAAGGGATATGTCAGCTGGATCTTGGTTTAAAGCAGAGAATACCAGAGAGATGTTTACTTGTGTTTCATTGATTGGGCAAAGGCATTAGGCCTTGTGGATGATAACCAACTATGCATAGCCTTGAGAAGAATGGGAATTCCATATCCCTAGTTGTGCTCCTGTGGAGCTAAGAGGCAGTTTTGTGACAGAACAAGGGTTTAAAATCAGGAAAGAGGGGCATCAAGGTTGCTTCTTCTCACAAACTTCTTCCATCTGTATGCTGAACAAACCATCAGAGAAGCTGGGTGATGTGGAGACGAGCGTGGACTCAGGGTTCAGGTTCAAGGAAGGCTGATTAGCAGCCTGTGGTATGCAGATGCCACACCTTGCTTGCTGCAAAGTGAAGAGTTGAAGCATTTGTTGATGGCGACCAAGGATTGCCACCGTCAGAATGGATTGCGACTCAATGTAAAGAAGAACAAAATCCTCACAATTGGACCACTAGGTCTCATCACAGTCAAGGAGGGAACGATTGGAGTTGTCAAGGAGAGCATCTTGCTTAGATCCACCAGCAGGAGATGAAACAACACACGGTATTGGGTAGATAGATCTACTGCACAGGACCTCTTCAAAGTGTTGAAAAGCCACGAGGCGACTTTGAGGACTAAGGTGTGCCTGACTCAAGCCAAAATATTTTCAGTCGCCTCATCTGCAGGTGAGAGTTGGACATTGAATAAGGAAGACTGAAGAGGAATCCGTGTATTTGAATAATGGTGCTGCCGACGAATACTGACAGAAACATGGACCGCTAAAAAGAACAAGCGAATCGGTCTTAGAAGATGTACAGCCAGAATGCTCCTTAGAGGCAAAGATGGTGAGACTTCCTCTCTAATCAGGAGAGACCAGTCCCTGGAGAAGGACCTCATCCTTGGCAAAATAGAGAGGTGGCAAGAAAAAGAGGAAGGTCCTCAACCGGATGCATTGCCACAGTGGCTGCAGCAGTGGGCTCGAACATAAGAATGATTGTGAGGATGGTACAGGATAGGGCGGTGTTTCATTACGTTGTACATAGGGTACTAGTGTAATTCCTAAGACCAAGTGGGATGGCAGTGTGGACAGGAATGGCCAGGTGTCTCACTGAGTCAGTACCCCCTGCCTAGGTGCCGTGTCCAGCCTGCACCTGTGAGCTGGCCCGGTGCCGCTTGTCCACACAGGGGTTTCTTCTTCTCACCCTCCGAGGCCAGAGCAGCATGGACCTGCCAGCAGAGACCTGCCAGAGAGAGGCGAGGAGCATGCCGCTCCCCCCTTCCTTCTACAGCCAGGACATCGGAACCACAGTGGGAATGACTAGCCCAGGGCCACACTCCTCAGACTTCTGGGCCAGTGCTCTCTGCTATCCTGCTGAACTGCCACAGTGCTGGAAGTTCTCAATGTAAGAGCCAGTGGGGGAGGGGGGCTGTGGGGGCTTGGCTGTAAGTGTAGACAGCAGATGGCAACCAGCAAGACCCAGGAAGGCGCCAGCCTAATGAGCCAATTCCAATTTTGATTTGACATAAACAGTGTGTGATTTACTCTTTTAGGTCTTTTTAAACCACTGTGACCAAGTGACCCTAAGAAAATGGCCTCTTCTATCTTCAACACAGGTGAAACTTTGATATACAGTGACAGAGAAGGCACACTCTCCAGGGTATTGGGGAGGAGACCTCCACAAGTCACCAGAGAAACGGGGTCCATGACAGAAGGTTTCCCAGCACGGACCAGGAGCTGGGTCAACAGGCCTGCCCCTCAAGCCAGAAGGAAGATGTGCACCCTCTGCTGAAGGTCACACCATGCACATGGGGGCCAAAGAAAGCCCTGGCTGCACTGACAGTTGGTCAAGATGTCTGACCACAAGATGTTCTTCTTTCCTCAGAAGCTGCCCTAGATCCAGTGGCTAGAACAAGGACGAGAACCCAGCTAGCTGTGGCTGGAGCCCCGGAGGCCTGAGGAGGGGGCCGTCATGGACCAGCCACCAGGGCTGAGGCAAGGCTACCTGAGCCAAACAGGAAAGCCTCTTCCATAGCCAACGAGTCTCAGGACATCTGGCTAGAGCCCAAAGTGGGCACCCCTGGGCTGCACCGGAGGGAGATGGGAA